GGGTTTTTTCCCCTTGGCTGCAATTCTTTTCCTCCGAGATATAGTCAAGCTCTGTTGGCCGTTGGTTATGCTTGGGATCAATATGTCTTCATTGAGAGTTTAATGAGATTCACACCTCTTGAGCTGCAAAGTGAATCCATCAAGTAGAAATGCATTTTAGAAGCAGCAATTTGTGAATGAGAAGACTACACTGAATACTATTTGATCTTTTTTTCTTTTTCTACCAAGCACAGAAATCAAATGTTTTTGTAAAGACCATGCTCTTAGTTATATAGCATTTCTTTACCAAACAGCTGAGGCATCCCATGTTTATTATTGCAAAATGCAGCTTTCCAACCTTTCCTTTTTGTAATCACTTTCATTTTTTACAGTTTTCCTATTTGCAAGTAATCAGTTTTTTTCTAAATGAAGATGTTTCTATTTTAAAGCAAGGTACTATAAAACACATATTAAACAGTTTATGGTAGATAATTTTCTGTTAAAGTGTGTGCTTGCCACAGACACATTGATTTTCTGTAATTAATAGAAATTATAAAATGACTGGATTCTAATGATGATATAATTTAGACCAAGTAAAATATCTGTAATTACATTATAATATATTAAAGAATAGCACAAGTCCTCTTGCCTGATATTTTCTCTCATTTTGCTACTCTAGCTCCTACACAGTGATAGAAATCAGTGGTGCTTCAGTAGTTCTAAAGAAAGGATAATTTGTGACCCTTGTTAAGGGCAGAGGCACAGCAGAGTACTTTTTTATATTTACAGCAGAAACTCTTTTTAGGTGTTGCATAGGATCCTCTTCACATATTTTTTGACAAATAGCAAAAATATCGATTTCTTTGTTGGATAGAAAGAAAATTTATTATTTCCTTGAATTTTGCAGTTTCTTTTACTTTAAATACCTCTAGTGCTACAAACCAATGGAAATGTGGTGTTTCTGGCCCTGCACATAAGGGCTGAGGTATTGAGCAGCCACTGCTGATTTGAGATGTTTAATGCTGGGCTACACAGGGGAAATGTCCCCAGTATGCATTGACTGATATTCTGAAGTCAAACTTGGGCAGTTGGAAGTGCATGATGGTCCACCACCCAAACCCAAACTTCAGATATCAGGCATTACTTAAACATGTTTTTACGGTGGTATCACCATGTCTCATGTCTTCTTTCAGATGAACAAAATAAAATAACATCTTCCTTTTACTATTTCCGTCTTCTAAATGGAAGGAACTATTTAACTTCAAATCCTTTGTGTGCATTCATTACAGGTGGGCTCAATGATCTGAAAAGTATTTTCCAATCTAAATGAGCACAGACACTCTCTGAGATTTTAGGATTGTGTGTACAGTCCTGCAGCTCTTAGTCTTCTTCCTTCCAGATGTTGTTTGTATTTAAAGTCTCTATATTGGCTCATTCCTTTCTGACTTTGGTGCACACTCTGAAAGTTTTAGCAAAGCTTTTACTACTGTATCTTCTTAGTGGGAAGAAGATGACATCCATCCACCTTGTGCTCTGCACAGGATGGAGACCATGGACCCTGGCAGGGGCACAGAGCCCTGCTCTCCAGAGTGGAGGAGTCCAGCAGAACAGCTGTCTTTAGGAGGTGGTCAGCACTAGTTTTCTTCCACCATTATGAACTCTCTAAGATTCCTTAAAAATGATATTTTAGATACTTGAGGGAGCAGACTGCTTGTCCTGTGAAAAGAGGCCAAGGGGTCTAGGCTGATTCACCTGGGGAAGAGCCAGCTTTGAGAAACACAGAATCACAGAGCAGAGAGAGCCAGGCCCTTCACAGAGATGCATGGTGAGAGGGTGAGACACAGTGGGCATAAGATGAAACAAGAGAAGTTCAGACTGGACATAGGAAAAGCATTTCCCTCATGAGGACACCCCAGCAGTGGGACAGGCTGCCCAGGAAGGCTGTGCACTCCACCCCAGGAGTTATTCAAGCTTTGATTAGGTAAACCCTGAGCAAACTGTTCTGACTTTGGAATGACTCTGCTCTGAGTAGGGTGATCTAAATCACCTTCTGAGGTTTGTCCTGTGGTCTTACAATTTCCTGACACTTAGCACAGGATGAACAAGTACAGATATGATGGATTGGGAGCAGCTAGAACAAAGAAATGCTGGTGCCTCCCAGAGGTGGTAAAAGATTGGAGAACATCAAGTGAGTGCATGAATATAGATCACTGATCTTTGTTATGCTGGAAGTTATTTGGTCCTGGCTTAGAGTAGTGCACAGTCATCACTTTTATGTTTCAAGGTTTCCTTTGAGATTCTAGTGTCACAGAGGAATCAGTTTTGTTTAATGACCTTCTACATTAGCAGCTTTTTGTGTTGGTGACTAAAACTGATTTTGCTAGTGATGTGAAGGAGCACAAGCCCAGCCTCTGCATCACTGCTCAACCGTGTGCTTTAGTCCTGCCAAAGAATGGGGGCCAGCAAATTTCTGAGCATCAGAAATACCCATGCTAAAACTCTTAGGTACAGTATTGGTAAATACTCAACTGGATTTTAATCTCTGTGATGCATGGTTAGAAACTGCACCTTTGTGCTTGAGCCCTGGAAATGCTTGGTCGATATTTTTCTTTGGTAAAGTAACATCATGAAGACCTTTCTTATTTTCCTCAAGCATTTCACAAGAGAGAATTTCTCCCTGACCAGAGTAATTACAAAACAATTCAGTAGTGGATTATGTTCCACACTTCTTAGTTAGTTAAGTGGTATGAAAAAAAAAAGTATAAGAGAAGGGTGGAGGATAAATTTGTCAGAGAAATAAAACTGCAAGGAACAAAAAGTTTCATAAAGACTTGTGGACAATGAAAGAAGGGGGTGGATAATTCACATAAGAAGGCACAAGGATAGACAAAGAGGATGAAAAGAATGAAAGAGAAAGTGAAGAGTCTGACAAAAGAGACTGAATAATTCGCAGCTAATGTTTTGATGAAAATATAATAAAAATGGAAGGAAATATTATGCAAATAATGATTTTACATTTGTAAATTTTCTTAGTCTAGCACTGCATGTTTGACAAATATTCTTTAAACCAAATTTTGGAAAATTAGAGAACTTAGTTTAAATTTAAATTGATGGATAACAAAAATAATGATCACTAAAGCGCAAACTGAAGTAGGTTCACTGAATTAATGAAGTTTGAAACAGATTTCCATTATTCCGGCCACACCAGTTTTCAGTGATAATTTTTCAAGGATAGTTTTCCATTACAACTATCCCTGATACTTTAGGGACATTCTTCCTTTTGAACAATTAACTGACAACTGGTTACAGTGGGTAGCTCCTCTGCAACCAATTGAGGAACTAAAATTGCAACCTCTCTGTCTTCTAAAAAAAAGTTAAATTTTAGGAGAATCTAGAGACTGACCCTCCTGATCCTCCCCAGAGCTTATGCACAGTGACAGGATCACAGAAAAGAGACTTCATGTATGACTGGAAGAGACGTGTTTCAGACTATCCCAAAATGCAAGGCCAGCTCTGCTGGTACTAAGTCATACTTCTCTTTGTAATGTTAATTAGAAATTAAAAAGTACCTGATGTCCTGAAAAATCCTTGGAAGGTGTGGATAGCAAAGGCTGCAAGTGTGTTCTGTTGAGTGTTGTTTTGATTGCACTTAGGCTACAAAGACATTAATCAAAAAGAAGGTGATCTATGGAGACGCTAGTAGTGTTCCCTTTCTCTGCCTGGAGATAAGCATGAACTGCAATGGATTTTTTTTGTTTGCAGTATAGCCTGGACTTTCCTAAATTATGCAAAGAGAAGGAATTCCAAATCAAATTTTGCTTGGAGGCACCTACAGCAGAAGCAGAACTAATGTATGATGTCTTAGGAAGGCTGCAGAAAGCTTCTGGTGTTGTTTTGAATGAAAAGCAAGTCTGAATATTTACCAGTTTCTGATCCAGGATGGAGAGCTGAACTAGGGAGTATGCAAGGGCTCTAAATGCCTCTCATCACTCAGAATCATTGATGTCCTCCTGCCCAGCTGACACTCTCCTGGATCAGTGACTGACTCTTGCATATCTCACTGGTTTTATGTCCTACAATAATCAATCCAGCTGCTTCTCCAAAAACAATGTCTTCCCCTTTATTACTTTGCCTTGCTCCTCAGAATTTTTCTTCATTTCTGTTCTTCATGCTTGGAAAAATCTTTCCACCCTGAAGTATAAGGCTCTTTTCTTTCCTGATTTTTAATTTTTCTCTTTTGAGGGGCATGTTGGTGACTGGGATGCATTTCAGTATTGACAGTTAATTACCAGCCCTTTATTACAATAATAATTGCAATATAATATTTTTAACAAAATTCTCTATGCTATTATCATCTCCTGTACTCCTGATGTACTAATATGTGTGTTTCTCCAGTACATATCAAGTTTTAGCCAGAGTTAAGTTTGCAGGCAGTGCATCACTGGTGATGTTTAACACTAATAATGGCAGCTTCACTGGAAATTGTAAAGCCTGAGAAAATGTTTTGTAGGCTTTGAAATTTAATATCTGAGGAAGGATGCAAATTTTGATTATTTCTCTGAGAAGAGTCATAGAAACAGGACTTACTTGGAAAGTTGGATTTGTGATGGCTGTCACCCCATGAGTTGAGCTTTATCCATGATACTTCTGTAGATTCCTGCCAAGTGGGTTGTGGTTGGGAAGATGGCAGGGAATGTTTATTTCCATATTGATGAATGGAATTTTGTCTTGTGGACAAGAAGGACTAGCAAAAGAGAAAGGCATGGAATGTGCTTTTCCCCTAATCAGTAAATCATGGGAGAATGTCTCAACATGTTTTGAATAGTTCAGTTTCTACAATATGCTGCCATTATGCTGTGTTTGTATGGAAGCACCTGGGCACACTGTTTCCCAAATGCTTTATTTTCACCTTGGATGAATAACACACACAATTCCCTAAATTGTGAAAATACAGATACTTACCTTATGTTTTTGTCTTTTTTTCTCTTCCTTTTCTATTTCTCCTCCTTCCTCTTGTACAGGGAAGAATGTTTCAGTCACACAGAAGAAGCAGTAGAGCTCTGAAGGATGGATAAAATGTGGTTTGGCCTGAAGGTGACTGCAGCTGCTCCGTTATGGGAAAAAGTGAGAAGTTGCCCTAAGTTGCCATCTGCACCATTTCAGCCACCTGCTGTAGTGGAAGCTGGCCATGCACACCAGCCTAAAGTGTGGTTTGAATCTGAGTTTTGTTTTGTTTTCTAGGGATCTCAGCATTTGCATTTTAAAGCAATTACCAAGCGCAATCTCCATTTTCATGGGTCTGCTTATGTGGATATGCAGTATCTTCAGCTTTGTGTGGCTTTGAGCATTCCTGAAAGAGCCTTTGATCTGACTTGGGATGTTTAGTATATCTGAGAATGTGGTACTTGAGGGTACAAACTGTTTAGCAAATGAGACAGAATGGCATTTTTTACAAGGCTAAGTTGGAATTGGGAATGATCTTCGTGTGTGCTGAGAGGCACTTGGAACATCAAAGTGCTCTGTCCTGATACTCTGAGTATTTCAACCACATGAATAGACCACACTGAATTTAACTTTCAGATAAAACACTTGCAGGCACACATGCTTCTCCTGAAAGAGGCCCTTTTGTGCACTCTGGTTGGCAGCAGCACGTATGACACAAACACATTTTGCAGCCGTGCTGCCCAGTACAGATTACACACCACAACCCCCACTCTTCACCTCTGGGAGCCCTTTGGGAAGGCCAGGAGATGTGAGTGCAGGCACCAGAGCTGTGCCTGAGGAGTCCAGGGGGTGCCTCCATCCATTCTGTGACTAGAGGCACAGAGCACTATTGAGACCGTGGCAATACTTGTGGTGACCTGAACGGCAGCAGCTGCTCTCAAACTCTTACATTGGGATGCACTTTCAGTTTTGAAAACTGTTTTATGTCTTGTATTTCTCTTTTGCTTTTTTAACATTGAGCTAGCTGCTAGGATGTGCTGTCTTTACAATGTGTAGTTGCCCAGTAATTACAGATATCCTCTGAAAAGTAGGAGAAGAAAAAACCATGGAATCCCAAATCAGATTAATGTAATGTGCATTTCTAGATTACAATTAGTAACAAGATGACATGTTGTCATGGTAACATGTGAAGCTTAACTGCAAGTTCCTAAAATAAAGCAATGACATATGTGTAGGTTTCTATCCATTTGCATACTATCCACATGAAAACATACATAATTTCTACAACACTCAGGCAATTAAACCCTACTTCTTTCTTCTGAATTAAGTGTTGAACTAAAATATCAGGCCTCTTTCCTAGTATTTATGCAAAATCTCCCACTATCAATTATAAATGTTTATGATGAAGTCATCCATTTTGTAACATCTTAAGCTTTCTGCCTTTTGGTTTCATTTTAGAACAATTAGAGTAAGGAATGTAGAGCACGCTTCACTCTTTGTGGTTTGTACCACATTGTTCTTGAAATTCTACTGCCTCCTCATACAAAAATAGTCCAAACAATATAGGAAAAGTCTGCTTATTAATTACATTGATAGACCAGCGGATGTGTTTCATGTGGCTGAGGATTGGGAAGTAAAAGCCCAACTTTACCTCAAAGCACTGGAAGAAAGCAGTAAACTTTTCATGTGAGATTTCTAGCTAAGACAGAAAGCCTAGATATTATTTTCTAGTTGCCTTATAGTGAGAAGTGTTGTTGTCTACTTGTTAGTGAGTCTGAGTTTCTTTCACTAAGCAGAAGTTAACTTGTTTAACGCGCTGTCTATGGTAGAGTTACCAGGACATGCTTTACATTTATTTTCATTTCATGGTAAACCTTCAGAGAATGAAAAATTGGGTGCTTTGTTCTGATTGCTTTCTATGCACAACATTGTTTTGGCCAAATTCTTTAGTCAAAATTAAGATGCTGCTAGGTTCTATGAGTAAATGCAATCTCCTTCTGTCACCCTAATTAGACAAGATGGGCAATGTTACATGGAAAATATGGTTTCTTTGGCAGTTCACTTATTTATGTATACTTTACTGTACAGACCATTGGAGGATATTGAAAATACAGATTACAGGTTGCTCCTTAAGCGACCTTTAAATCCCAAATTCTGTTCTTCACACCACTATGGTTGGCAAATGCTGCAAGTACAATGATTTACTCTGGCGTGATAATCACGTTATATTCAGAATAATGCAGTTGCTGGGAAGTGTGTCACATACACAGCAGAGTTCCCAGGATAAGCTGCCTGCTAAAGCATGGCTGATGTTTGTCCTTGTGGCCTTTTGAAAAGTGGGAACTGATTTTTGTGTTTCATAAATCTACCTGTATTTCTCACTTGCAGATGAAGGTTTTTAATATTTGAATTTACTGTGGTTATGGGGTGGAGGGAGGGACATGTGCAGGCTGGGTTTTGCCACTAATCCTTTGGAAATCCTTTAGTGCCTTAAGGAGGCAGAGGGGTAACAGGCCCTAGGATTACAGAAACTTGTTCAAACCTCTTTCCTGCTTTAGAAGAAATCCTTTAAAATATATTGTGCCTTTGGCTCTAAATATATTTGCATTAGAAATCAGTAGCCATGGGATTATGGACAGGAATTTCTGCCCCTGTAGAAATGTTAGGAAAGAGAGTATACTATTTCTTGTATAGGATATAATCTAAAAATATAGCTAACTTAAATTCTACAGTTGGGATCCATACTAGGAAAGTTGCAAGTTGCAGTTAAAGGCAGGAAAGAAAGAGGAAAAAAAAAGAGAAAGTTTAAATATACTGGACTAAATGCTTGTATCATTTACTGGCAAATTTCCACAGGGTTTCTTGGGACCAAGATTTCATGCTTGCTTCTACTTGGCTTAAGAAATTCTCAGATGTGGTAGATATGTGGGTATCATGTTCTCTTTAATGTTGTAGGAGAGGAAAAGAAAGATTAGTAGTTTTGGACACCTGCCTTGATTTGGAGTTGCTGGGATCTGTGGTATAAATCTTTGTTCACTATTGTTTCTCTGTGTAACGTGGACTCTTGCTTTGGGAATATGAATATGCAAATGTAAATTCCAATGTGAGAGGTTCCTGTGCAGTGTGCCAACCGATGCCAAACAACTACATTTCTCTACTCTCTGAACTGTGGTCTTTTTCAAAAAGAGGGAAAATGTAACTAACAGATGAAAGCCACTCCAGTGCCAAAAAAGCCTGCATGAGGCAATTCATGTACCACTCACTGATGGTCCTAAGCAGCTCTTAGGAAAAGCTGAATAAGCTTTTAACTCATGAGTGAATTTTATCTTCTAGGAATTAAGAGCAATTTATTGGTACAGAGCTAAATTTAAAAAAAAAAAAAAAAAAAAAAAAAAAAAAAAGAAGGCCTGAAAATCAGACTGGTGGTGGTCTTCTGTTTTGCTCCCTGTGATGACAAGCAAGTTTAAAACAATTTGTAAATAGTTAAAAGAAAATAATTATGTGGCTCACAGTATGTAAGACAAGGCCCAGCATGAAACAGATTTTTACAGCTTATTTATAACTTTACACTTCTGTCTTTTGTTTGGAACTTGAAAAAGGAAACCATGTAAATTAAATAAGGAGTGAAGACTTACTGCACATATTTATTGACTGAAACAAAAGTATCTCCCCACCTCCTGAGGTATTTATAATCTAAATCTGGGATGAATAATGTACGGAGATCTTGCCTTTTGAGCTCTAGTGCTGTACAACTGTTTAACACTTTTGCACAGCCAACAGAGGAGTGGTAACCAGAAGTCATGAAGAGCAGTTGTTAGGGCCACAAATTTGGATTTGAAGAGGTACCAAAGAATGCACAAAAAAGCTGGGATTTATGTTGTGACACTTATTAAGCAGGTGTAGCAGTTAGACTGGGGAGGGAGGGGTGTTTGTAAATAAATGCAAAAAGTTTAAACTCTGACTCATGACCACCCTGTCACTGAGTGTCATATTAGTTCTGGCTATCTGAGAAGCTTCAATAGTATAAAAGAGGCCACTCATATTTTAACTGTTTCATTAAAGCCTTCTGGATAACTCTTCAGCAAAGATTTCCACTCTAAGACATTTGCCATTGATATCAACTGTACATATGTATTAATACTCAGTGTAACTAGGAAGATACAGAATTGTAATGAAGTCACAAAGTCTACTTGATGATCGCAGATTTGTAACTCTCACAAATTATGTAAGATATGTTGACATTTTATCTTGTTAACAAGATGTATTTTTCTATGTTAGCTAAATGTATAATTTGTATAATTTTGTATATTAAATGTATGCATATTTTAAATTAAAAACATTATAATTTTATTATTTTAACTTTAAAATGGTGACAGAGCTTCTGAAATACAGTTTTATATACAACTGTATCCATGGGTAGCAACCCAGGAAGTCTCAGTTTTGAGGAAGGGGCCACCTGATCTTTTAACAGGGTAAGGAAATTGTTACACCCATGCTCTTGCTCCTTTTGGTGGAGGAGCTGCCATTCAGCTTCTGCTGAGTTAGTGGAATTAATATGAGTTGGCAGAATACTAAGGGCTGTATCACTGCTCATGAAGTGGGTAACCTGAGCCATCCCCAGCTCGTAGCTGTGTTTTGGATTCACAGTTCCTGTATGTCAGGAGACAGTTCAAATCACCAATCCATGGGATGGGGTTGTGTGGGGGGAGAAGGACACTGCTGGCAGGGACACAGCAGTCCCACAGAGCACACAGGTTCTGTGGCCTGGCAACTCCAGTCACTCCTCTGGAAGAAGGAGAACTCGTGTCTCTCACGTGCATTCCCTTTGGACTGTTTGTGCCTTTTTTGGTCCCATGATTCTGTTGTAAAATGCACAATAGCAAAAAATAGGTGCAAAATTGTGGTGGTGTTTGAGGTCCCCAGGATTCCCCAGGATTGAGGGAAGAGATGAGAATCTTGACTCCATGTCTCAGAAGGCTGATTTATTGTTTTATTACATATGTTATATTAAAAGAAAATGATATACTAAAACTATACTAAAGAAAGAGAAAGGAGACATCAGAAGGCTAGCAAAGAATGAGTAATAAAATCTCGTGACTGACTCAGAAAGTCTGACACAGCTGGCTGCGGTTGGCCATTAATTAAAAACAATTCATATACTGGGTAAACAATTCTCCAAATCACATTCCAGAGAAGAAAAACATGGAGAAGCTGATGCTTCCCAGCTTCTCAGGAGAAAAGATCCTGTCAAAGGGATTTTTCAGAAAATATGTCAGTGACACAAAATGTACATTTTACATTCTCTGAGGCCCTGCACCAGGGAAGTCCTGTTCTAGCTCATGATGTTCACGCTGTTGGAGGAAGAGCTCAGCTACAAACGAAGCCAAGGTATGTGGCACCCTTCTTGTTGGGCTTTTATCCAGCAAGACATTGTAGCTTTTGCAGTGTGAAGCAGGTATGTCTCTAGGTTTGCTGCTATCACTCATCTAGTCTATTTGGAATAAAGGTCCCATAGAAGATGGTGCACTTTCAATCAAATTCATTTCTCTTTTCATCAAGAAATGTTAAAACAGGATGAGATGCACTGTCTGCAGAGAATATACCAAAGCAATATATTTCTGCAAAGCTGGATACTTGATTTTAGGCAAACTCACTCAGGATGCCACAGCATCAGGATGCATCTGAATCTACTTCTGCAGCACCTTAAACTGCATTTTGATCTCTTACCTAACAAAGGAATGGCATGCATCTGGTGACTGAGAATAGTTTTTAGTAAACTAAGGGCTATGGTATGAAGAAAACACAAAACATTTAAAAGCAAAGACAGACTCTGGTATTATTTTATGCTTATTTCTAACTAGAAAGTTTAATGCTGTTTTCTAAAGCATTGATCTGACATGTTCTCTGAGTCTTGTGATCTCCTTATGTATCAGAATTAATATGAATCTCCTGACTTAATACTTTAAAATAGCATTATTCTTTTTTATTATTATTATTTTAAATACCCTGAGTGCTCTGGAAACCTGAACAGTGTTATCTAACTAGATCCCAAGTGTAAACAGAGTCCATCTTAGCTTTATAATGATAAATAAAAATGCTCTTCATTTAGCAGATATATGCAATATGCAGCATATCGGACTTACTATGGGACCTTCAGAAGTTTTTATTCTGGAAATTCAAATTAATCTCTTGATTACAAAGAAATAACTCATAAAGTGAATATTTTTCCAATACTTGCAAAGACAGGCAAGTCACACATCACACTCCCTCCATGTACCACCTTCCATATTTCACTAACTGACAGGGTTTGGTGTCCTGTGTAGGAAAAAAATGATTTTTTTTCCCCCAACCTGATCAATAAATCTCAATGTTACCATCAGGAGCAAAAAAGCAATATTTGCCCTTACAGGAGAAGACTTCAAGGAAGCAATGAAGCAATATTCTACAAGCTATAACTATTATTTTTCTCATGCACCAGTGAAACCTCTGTATGATATTAACGTGTTAATCTGGAAATTCGGTTTATAAAGTGAGCTGTAGAATCCTGGGTGATATATGCTCAGAAATGTCAGTTGACTAAAATCAGTGTGCTGATAAACAATAATAAAAGAAATTTTGGCTATCTTACTAACCCCTCATGTGAACACCTATAGTGTTGAATGCACATGCAGCATTTAAGACAGCTGGTCCCACTGGATTATAAATGCAGAAAATAAAGTTTTCCTTGGATGTATTTTGGCATTGCTCAGGTATGTCACATCACTGCTTTTCACATGGTTCGGGTCCATGGGTTAATAAGAAAGATTATCTGGACTCATTTCTGATGAAATCCCAGGAACCTCTCTCTTCAACCTCCCACTTTTCCTGATTTGCAATTAGTTACTTGCAATTTCTCTCATGTTGGGACCACCAGGTATGCCCGTGGACCAAAGACAACAGTGCAGTGTGGCTGGGTTTGTATTCAAACATCACTTTGTACATGAACAGTAAACAGGCCATGTGATTGATCCACTGCTTCAAACTTGCTTAGTCACATAATCAATCTCAGACCAGTTTGTTACAATATATTATTTCAGAGAGACAGAAAATGACCCTTATGTAACTACTGGCGTAGTCAAAGCCTGTGACAATTGCAGAGATTGTCAGCAGGTGCAGGAGAGGGGTGTCCTTGTGGACTTGTGAATTTGGTGGATGATCTCAGGCACCAAATCTCAGGATGTTTTTAAGGCAGGGCTGTAAGGACGGACTTTTCTGAAGCGGGGAGCTGAGGGGAGCACACTCTCCACTCCTCCTGCCCTTGCTTTTGGCAACTCGGATCCCTCCCAGTGAAACTAAGCCCTCCCTGGTTTGTCTCTTTCCGCCGAGGCCAAGTCAGACGCACCATGCGGGCCCGGGAGCCTCCGGGGTGCTGAAGGGACAGCT